TGAATAGATCCCCAAATAAAAAATCACCTTTTAAAATAGTTACTTAAAAAAATTGTTTGAAAAATGATATTGAGCGAAAGATTTTTGGCCTATGTTAATAAAGTAGTCTAAACAAAACTAGTTATTGGAAACACGGAAATGCACAAGCCATATGGAATTAAGATAATGATAAAATAAATCAACATAATAATATCTCAATTAATATTTTAATATCAAACACAATCGTTTCCTATTTTCGATGAAATCATATTAAAACATAACTTGACAATTAATCGAACATGTGGCACGCAATCAATTTTTCAGAATTTTCTTTAAGCTTTGTTGATATGAAAAAACACTTACAATAAAAGTGATTATAAGCTAATCAGCAAAGTAATTTAAACTTTAACATTCAAAGATAAATTCTATAAGAATCCATTGATCAAACACCATACTCAACAAATTGCATATATAGAGTAAATGAGAGTAACAGATAAAATATTGCAATTGTCCTTTGAGTTGAACAAGCTAAACAACTTGTCAAACACTTGGTGTCTAATAAAAGTTTCAGAATTTTCCTTTGTATTGTGTTGATATGAAAAGCACTTATAATCAAAAGTGATTATAAGCAACTCAACACATAATTAAAAACAAAAACAGTCTCGAAAAATTCCTACGCGTTGATGGATTACTCAATGCTATTTGAAAAATTGATGTATGAAAATTAAAGCAATAAAAGAAAAGAGACACAAGGATTTGTCTACATAGTTCTCCACTTTTGTCCTTGTATGTAGGTACGTCTGCGTCAAATTCCAATGTGGAATTAGGATACTTTCTTACTTTACAAAAAGTATGAATACAAGAGAAGTGTTCCAAGAGCAACCTCCAAATATAACCATTTGATGTTGATTCAACCCTTTCTATTCATTTGATATTCAACAAGACTAAGACTCAATAGCTACCAATTGATTATCTAGATCTTACTACTCCTTTGTATACATTATCTCCAAAGCTTTTGCGCACCATTAATTGTACATATTACAACATAAAACTTCAATTTGATTCACCGTTTTCTCGCTACTTCCTTTGCGTTCTTTATCTCCAAAGGATCCTTTACGTTTTTTTATCTCCAAAAGGCTTCACTTGACCGCAATCCTCTTTTGAATGTCTTGAACGAAAATCTCCAAATCAATCAATGATCTTAGAGGATAAACCCACGGTTTTTCTGGATGAAGACCCCTACAAATCTCAATCCAATATTCTCGGCTACACAAAAACCTAATCGAACATTATCAAACCTCATCTAGATGGCACCCTAACAAAAGATCGTTACGATGGAATGTTAGTGTGTATGCATAGATTGAAGGTTGGAGATGAAGAGAAAATGTAAGTTAATTTTATGGTATCATCAAGTTAGAATGATGCATGAATGATATATTTATAGTTTGGGTCATATTTGGAAAAAGAGAGAAGTTTCAGAATGAAAAAATAATGAAAAAATAACCCACAAAACAGTATGTGTCACCTGAAAAAATCATGTGTCGACACATGCAAAGCAGTAGCTACAGGCTTTAAAAATGTAGTATATGTGTAACCTGAAGTTCGTATGTGTCGACACATAAAATCAGCATTTCTGCAATGTCTTAAAAAGCTTCAGTATGTGTCGACCTGAAATTCGTATGTGTCGACACATAAAATCAGTATTTTTGCAATTTCTTAAAATTCTCAGTATCTGTCTACCTGAAATACGTATGTATCGACGCATACAATAAAAACTAATGCATAAAATGATTTTTCATGAATTGGAGCAATTTCAAATTTGTTTTAAATGATTCCTAAGACCTCTAATGCAAGGGAGTGCCACATGACATAGAGATATCATCCAATATACATAAATGCTAAGTTTTTCTAGTTTTGACATCATGCAAAACATCTAATTGTGAAGTTGCACTCACAAATTCTAAAATCAAAATATTCATACAGGATAAAGATGACCTTACATAAAAAAAAAAAAAGAGGAGAGCGAGAGTCAGAGATAAGAGCGGACGCAATGGAGGTGACGACGACGAAAAATCATAGTGCAACAGAAAGCTTACGTGTTAAGCAAAAATTGAGAAGCATGAATAATCGATGGTTGGTAGAGATAAGAGCAGGCGCCGTAGCAGCAGCGACGAAAAATTATAATGCAACATAAAACTTACGTGTTTAGCGAAAATTAAAAAGTATGAATAATCGATGGTTGATGGTGAAATAAACAAAGAATGAAGAGCATATGAAAAATTTCGAAAGAAAGGAGAAGAAGGTTGCGAAATATTACATATATAAAAAAAATATTTTTTTAAGGAAAAAAATAACAAAAGAGAAAATAGAGTTGTAGGAGACTTTTAGAATTTTGATTACTTGTATATATAATATTATTAATATAATAATTATAAACATAACTAATACTAATGATATGGATCTATCTAAATTATACATGTCGGATAGATTAGATACTAGTACCCATTAAATTTGATGGAAACCGTAGTGTTCACCTAAATAAATACAAAAGTATTTCCAAATGTGTTTGACATGTCATCAAAAACATAACACATGTCGCCAGTTGTCTACCTCCCTACCATACGATGCAGTCAAACTTCCACGAACGACAGATATCAAACAAATTCGCATCCCGCCATGCGCAAACCAAAAACCGCCACACGCCCTCCAAACAAAAACACAAACCCCTTGCCACGTCACCAACATCCACTCAAAAACCGCCACGAAGTTATTATATTTCAAAAACACGATTTCGATAACACAAATAACAACAACCACCGATAACTAAAAGAAACAGAAAAAAAAACCTCTTTCAATTTTCATCTTCAACGACTCTCACCGTCACTGTCAGACATGGAGGTTTCCGGCACTGTTCTCCGTCAGTTAACATACGTCTCCGGCGCCGGAACTAACGCCAATCGTCGTAGCTTTGTTCCGCGAAGAGACGTTGTTAGAGTGAGAATGTCAACGGGGTTTGATTTTCGTGACGAGGGTCACTTGCAGTATTACCAGGAATTGAAGAACAGAGGACCTGTTAAAAGCAATAAGAAGAAGATGAAATTGCTCAAACGTTTCTCTGAAAACGTTTCTTCTTTCCCTCAATTAGGGTTTGCTTCTGATTCAAATCAACCTAATCTCTTCGATCATCTTCAACAAAACCTCATCACGGTACTTTTTGTGCCTTTTTTTTATTAATTCTAGTTTTTTTCATCTAAATTTTTACATGTTTCCTCTTCTGAATTATTCCTCTTTTTGCTTTGATTTAAAAATCTGTTTTTTATGTTTCTTTTTTTTAATACCACAAATTATGATGATGAAGATGGTGTAATAGTTATGACAATTTTTCTTTTAATTAAAAATCTGTTTTTTGTTTTGTTTTTTCTTTTAGGGTTTTTTCCTTTTATACCACAAATTATGATGAAGATTGTAATTATTTAGGCAATAATTGAATTGATGGTTTTTTCTTACTTAGGATGGTGGTGAGGAATTACTGAGAGAGCTTGAGAAAATTAGAGCAGAGAAGAAGGAATTGAAGAAAAAAATGAAACAAGAGAAGAAAAAGGCTAAACTTAAACCCTCCAAGATGAAAACTTGTGATAAATCTGAATCTTCATCGTCATCTTCGTCTTCTGAATCGAGTGATAGTGATTGTGATAAAGTGGTTGACATGAACACCTTAAGAGGTGTTGCTGTGGATGTTGCTTCAAAGCCGGTGGATGAATTGCAATTGCAGACCATTATTGATGTTGAAGCTTCCACTCCAGGTCATCATGTCATGGATTTGTGTTCAACAAATGATGCGTCTGTTGTTGTTGGGTTTAAGAAAGAGACTAATGTGGTTATCCCTGCTGCTCAAAAGAGGATTGAGGTTTGCATGGGTAACAAATGCAAGAAATCAGGGGCTGCTGCATTGTTGCAGGAGTTTGAGAAGGTGGTGGGTGTTGAAGGTGTTGGTTCTGTTGTTGGATGTAAGTGTATGGGGAAGTGTAAAAGTGGTCCTAATGTGAGAATTCAGAACTCAGTGGATCATGGCATGGTTCAGGGACTTGATGATTCTGTTAAGGTTCCGAGTAACCCTCTTTGTATTGGAGTTGGTTTGGAGGATGTGGATACTATTGTGGCTAGATTTTTAGGGGAGGATCATAATGATGTGAGTATGGCTGCTTCATTTTAGTGAATAAAAGGTGTAGAAAAGGCTAGCAATGTGATGATTGTGTATATAACTTCGTTTTGAATGAAAAATTAGTTATCATGCAGTCTGGTTTTTATTTCTTTTTATACATCTTGTACAACTTGCCCTTGGGTTTATCACTATATGTAAAGTGATTGTGGAATTATAATATCATTGGCCTTACTCTAATTTTGTTTTTGTAGTGATTTTGAAAGAAGTATTATAGTTTCACTCGTATAGTCATTTGAATGATTATTGGAGGTGGTTCCTATTGTTGACCTTGTTTTTGTTTGTTTCACCCTTGGAATATGTTTCTACTATTCGGCCAAAATAGTTTGACCTTGCTTGAAAATCGACATTACTTGACATTACTTGAAAATCGAGACTAGGGTCAGTTATACTCCATGGTATTATTTATAAAAAAAATTATTAATTTATTTTTTACCTTCAACCAACATATTTGGTCTATATACCATAGTCACATTTCTCATAGAAGTAAATAATATTCACAATCCTCTTATCTAACGAGGTGGGCGTCGTATAGGACTAGAGTGAGTGAGTATATAATACTCACAAAGCAAACAATACTACTATCAAAATATTGATTATGGGGAAATCTTTTATTTTGAAAACCTTTGGGTTAACAAAAAAAACTTCATAAAAGGTGTACTTAATGAATAATACACAACACTTATTTATATTTAATGTGATAATATTATCTCTTGTCTTATATATAAGAGAAAGTTTAGTTTATAGATTAATCAATATGTCTGAAATGATTTATGGTTAAATGATGTTGCTTCACAGCAAATTATAAATCAAAATCAACATAGATTCTTTCAATGAATTTCTCCCCTTCCATGTGCGGGTTTTCCACCTTAGCAGCATACATTGAGAAAATCTAAAAGTTTGTATTAAGTAATTTACAAACTACATTAATCAAAAAAAGTATTATGTACAAGTACAACGCACAACTAGAGGGGGACAAGTTGTTAAGCCATACAACCAAAATCTGTTGGGTAAGACTCTTAGCCATTGTCATCCCAGCAGCATAGTTTAGAGTTGCTACGTGCAAATCCAGCTTTGCTGACCACCTATTTTATATGATCTATACATCAGTTACGGATTTACTTAGAACTTATGGGTCAGTACCGGGGACGTTTGGGGGATGACCCATGTTCCAATCCACTCGTGCTGTTGTCACATCTTCTGACAAAATGATCAAGTGTTTTCTGCTTTGCAGGGCTTCTCACTGGCGGTTGATCATCTGAGACCTTTAAGTACTTTGCAGGGCTTCTCAGTAGTGGTTGATCATCTGAGACCTTTAAGGTGTTCTCATGGCCATCAAGCATCTGATTTTTTTTCCAATAACAAAAGTTCAGAATTAGTCTTAAAAACATAAAGCTAACACTATTAAAAACTACTCCAAAAGATATAGACATAAAAGCAGAACTGAATCTCTTAGTGCAGAAACCGATTTTACAATTACTTTCAAATTTCACTACATGTGACTGAGTTCCCAAACAAAATAGAGATATACCTGTCCCAAATTGTCCAGTTTGCTTTGCACTACGTCCCTGTGATGTGGAAAATTATAAGATTGTCAATACATCAAAGATGTCAGGTCAATCAGAGGACTGCTAAAAAACACAACCTACCACATGATATCATCAACTGTGTCATTTGCAAGCAAGTAGTATATATTTACTGAAGACACCTGAAAACAAAAGCGAGAAAGTCATAATCATTACATCACAGATTGTTGTCGGATACTGAACTATCAACTAAGCTTAGCAGTGACATATTTTCATTAAAGAGATGTTTTCTTTAAAGAGAATCTATCACAAATTTTTAGGATATCACCACGATTTCTAAAACAATGCCGTTGCTCGTACTCTCTTACTGTTGATGCTGATTTTTAAACTACAACAGCATTTAATATCACTCTTTTTCCTTTCTTTTCAACTTAACAAAACAACCATGTTTGAAAATATACCTGTCCAATTCTATGAACACGGTCTTCAGCCTGAATTAGATCACCAGGAGTCCAAGACAATTCTGCAAAGAGGACGGTGCTGGCAGCGGTCAATGTTAACCCGACACCTCCAGCTTTGATAGATAGCTGCAGGACAACAAAATCAACAACAAAAACAACACCAGAACTATAGTCCAAACAGAAAAATGATTACAACAAAACATAGGAATGATATTGCAATACCACTGCTGCCTTGATAGAATCTTTTTCCTGAAACTCTGTAACCAACTGTTGCCTTGATCCAGAAGGTGTACCTCCATCAATCCGGATGCAACCAACCTTTTTTTTCTGGAAATTTTAAACAGTTCACAAGTGTTTATCCTCACTTCTTGATGAGATGCATAAGTTTTAAGGGGCCTTACCAGAAGAAACTCGTGTATTGCATCAATCATTGATAGATGGTGTGCAAATATAAGAAACTTGCAACCTGCCTGCAACAATCATTACATACATAGAATTACCACATGCTATGGTGATCAACAGCTTGATTTAATCACAAGAAAAAAAGCAAGGTAAGAAAATTGAAGCAGACACCTTTTTAATTAAGATTACAAAATAAATTGTTGCATTAGAAGAAAATGCACTACATTGTCTTTTTCAATATTATATTTGCACGTCAAGATCTATGGTTTGGAAATATAATTGATATTAAAAATACCATTGCACTAGGGAATATATACTTAAATTAACTAGTGTTTTTCACAAATTTGTTTCATGGAAGGTTAATCATCACAAATATTTCGAGCATAGAACATAAGCTACCTACGTATAGGAACTTGAAGGGGTCAAAATTAAGGAGATCAGATACAAGTTACAACAAAGTAGTATCTTATATATCCTTGTAGAATTAAAGTCATAAATGTGCGTTGAGTAAGAAAGCTAAAACAAGATCCGAAGTTTTTAATGGTATTTAAGTTCATATAGGTCACAGCAGTTGAAAGTATTAATCTTCAATTGCTTTAAAGAGAAGAAGCTGCAGCATACCTCGATTACAGTTCCAAGATAATCAAGAACAGCGGGAATCTTGGCTTCAGCAGAATCAGTATAAATCTGGAATTGAATGAATCAAGGTTCAGTGATAACTCACAACAGTCATAATGTTTAGATTTTCTGGCATACTAAGGGATATGAGCAGGCATTGCAGTTAACTATAAACCTTTTCTAGTTCTAGGAAATAGTTGCAATCTCAAACAAATTGTGCACAACTGCTTCTATTAATACCTTGTTAATAAGATTCTTTTCAGTAAACTTGAGTGATTCAGCCTCCTCTTGTGATTTAGCTGCCTTAATTTTGGCTTTTACCATCTCCAACTGCAGAACAAAAACCAATACTGGTCAGCTGTTACCACCTTAAACTGCATATGCACAGCAAAATTATTACTATTCGAGTAAAATAACATATTCTTGGTAAAAAAAAAATTACAGCCATGTTTCTAGATAAAAAGCCTAGAAGCCCACTCCAAACCATTTCAGAAGTAAAAAAATAAACCAGTCATTTCTTCATCTTTCACAAGGCCAAACTACAATTCATTTATTAACAAAAACAAGTTTAATGAAATACATGTAATATGAATACCAACCAAACAGTCCATACAAAGCAAATCAACTTACTCGTTTGAACGTTGAAATTCAACAATCCTATGACAATGCTAGACGCGAGAAAATAAGCTAAAAGAATATTGCAAAGAGTAAGAATGCATAGCAACTGCATTTCATAACTAGCTTGAGTTATAACCTAACAAAACTGAATGATGCAATCCTCATCTCAAGATGAATAACAAATATGTTGAGTTACCTCCCGAAATAGAGCATTAATTTGCTTCATGTCCTTGTCAGCCAAATCTAGGAAGACCTAAAAATCAATTATAAAACAAATACAATAAATAACTTTTAAGTTGTATCATAAGCTTCATGCGTTGGTAAAAACATTGGTCAAAGTGTGCACTATATAAACCGATTGTAAGGAAAAATGCGGATGATGAATGTACGCACTTGTTGCCTACGCTTAACAGGAAGTTCAGAAAGAACATCCTTTTTAAGCCTCCGAATCATCGATGTTGCCTTCATCAAATTGTGCAATTCTTCATGATTACTTGCCCCTTGATAAAGTCCAAAAAATCCCTGGAAAATCCATGCAAACGACAAGCTGGATACTTACCCAGTAAAAGCAAAATGAAAGTGGCTAATTTAAAAATCATACATGTAACAAAGATGAGATTACTTACACCCTTGCAATACCGGTTACCATATTCATGAACATTCTTATACACATCAGGATACAAAGCTTCCAGCTATAACACCGTTTCAAAGAGATTACCAAAATGTAGATTCCATCAATGTTAATGTTGAGCATTAATGAGGTATTAAACGTACTAGACATGAATAATTTACCTGTTTGAATAGTTCAATTGGTCGGGATAAAGCAGGAGTTCCACTAAGCAATATTGCATATTTAGCTTTCTGAAATCGGCACACAAATTTTAGCTTTTAAGTGATGAAGGCATGAGAGAATTGAATAGGTATTATTCAGCAGCTATGTACTCTTTACAGCAACTCGACTAATAACAAAGCTAATATATTATCCAATCAAAATGTTTCACATTTAGCACCAGACTTCCTTTTGGGGAGGAGGGGGAGGTAATCAGGGTTCAGAGGACAGACCCTTGGCACGTGCTTTGCACACACCAGACACCACAAACCTCTTTTATCTTGTGTTATATGATTGTTTTTTATGTATATAACACATGTACTTACTTTAGAGCCAAGTATAAGAGACCAGAAGCAAGCATGTGATATGGCTTTCAAGAATTAGTAACCTTTATAACTGGAAGAGAAGCAGTTGTCCTCTTTGCCTGAGCATTTTTCAGAAAGTGTGACTCATCAGCAATTACAACCTGGATAAAAATAGTTTGCAGCTAAGAGTGTAATTTATAAGCATCAATTGGTGAAGTACATTTGCACAGGTAGATAGAGACGCAGTCATCTTTTCAGGGAAAATATCTGATGGTAAAGTACATATAATATAACCCAATAATAATAAATCAACCACCTATTTGTACTCGGTAGCATTCAACAATCTTTACGACATTTTCACAATTCATTTTTCAATGAAGACGGCTTTTAACAGCCCTAGCATAATGCACCATTGTCGGTTGAACATAACGACACTTACAGTTTACAAACAAGAAGTACTTTATCAACTTTCATAAATTTCAACACTTTTAGTCACAATATATAGACGACTTCCTTCATTCATTGTACTCACTGTGCCTCTAATGGAAGACTAACAGCACATACTGGCATATGGTTAAGATCAGGACTTAGAAACTACAATGAAGTTAGAAAATTAAGAAAACTGGACGGCATTAACCTTAAAGTCAGACTCCATAAGCGTATTTTGTAGCTTTGCCACCATATCATATGAGATAATGTTGAATAGTCCATCCAGATGAATGCTGTTTTTGGCACTTGGAGGAGATACTATATTGAAACCTCCTCTATTTGACCCACCACTTTGAGATAAGACAACCTAATCATGATAGTTGGGTAGTGTAAGAAAACATAGAATAAGGAGATAAATGGTATACTTAATCAGAAGGGGAACACACAGAAATTAAAAAAAAAGTCCGAAAGTTTTAAATACCAACCATTAGGGAATAAACAAAAAATAAAAGTCAATAAAGGGATCACAGAAAACATACAAGGATATCTGATGAAGGAATATTCAGCCATTGTTGAATCATCTAAATCAAAGAAAACCGATAAGGACATACCTTACCAAGTGTGTTACAAAAAATCATGAAAATATAGAAATAAAACCCTTACAGAAGCCCATTGCAAGCGTAATGCAGATGGCGTGAGAATGAGAACAGGCCAAGAATCCTGAACACATGCAGCTACAGAAATGGCCTGCAAATACCAATAGAAACTCTACATATAACTTCTGTAATATGGTACTCCAACAGAATAAACATTGCCGAATTTTCTTTTAGAAGGAAGAACAGAAAGACAGACGAGGCCAGCCAAACCACAAATTAACTAACAATAAACAGAACTCTTTCCATCATAAGCCTACTTGCATCTTCTCCCACACAAGCATAAAAAGCTCATAATGTTTATTTTACTTATCTAGTTTAGGGATCTCCAATCATTATATGGGACTTTGGTAGTGTCAACAGTTGATGTGAAGATGCGTGTAAGTAAAAGCATCCATGAATATATGTTTTTTTTCAAAACTAATGTTGACTCCTGTGAAATAGAAGGGTAATTCTGGTGAGGAACAAGAACTTAGCCTGCCCAGTCACCAAAATCAGAATAAATAATATCTAGCAACTGATTGACTAAAAAAGCTTACATCTAGCAATATAAACAATTGCCGAGTGTGCAAGAAAATGATTATATCAATGGCAGACAAACAAATGCATAACAGATATGTATTATTGCATTGCCTTAAGACAATAGAGTATATGAATTATCTGGCCAACGTAAAAAGTAATTTTTATCAGTCATCTGAACTAAAAGTAATTTTCACAGTCCTAAGAGAGTAATCCACAAGAGAGAGCTGGGCAGGCAATATAATTTTGGCTTAATTCGCACCTGCATTGATGGTGCAGGGGTAGTATGAACTGTAAACATAATTTTACTTTTCACCCTTACTAAAAGGTAGTTGTAGTCATAGGAAAGTAACAACTAAGAAATGAAGATCATAACTCCAACATATTACACAACTGGAGTTGCAAAAGAGAATTATACTCAATTCATGGATGCTACTGTGATTACAATGTGATTCTTGTGTACTAATTGTGAATTAAGTTATACTGTCAAGCATCAAGTGTGATTTCTACCATAACTTAATTAACATTGAAGATACTAAATACTCATTATTTAAATGCAGAAGGTAGGAGAAGGAAGATAATCAACAAAAGTTGCATGTTTGTTGCACTGCTATAAAACACACACAGTAAACAGTTGGAACTTGAATGTATGGAAATAATTTAGTTTTGGGCAGTAAATTGCCTGCAACGTTTTCCCCAGTCCCATTTCATCCGCTAAAAAAGCACGACATCCATGCTGCAATATAAACCTGAAAACAAACAAATAATAACTAAAACCAACGGCGCGTAGTAAAAGAACAAATTACAGAGAAAAAAATGAACAATCCATATAATATGAGACAGATGAGAAAAGTATGAGCAAGCCATTACATACCTTATACCGTCTCGCTGAAATGGCAAAAGCTTTGTTTCAACATAGTCAGGGATCTTATCATATTGATCTTGCAGTAAAGACAAAAACTAAAAACTTCAGAAATTTTTGGGGAATAACCAATATATACATAAATCTATTGCTTGCTGATATAGAAGGAGAGATCAGAAAAACTGATAATCAAAACATTCAGCTTATACCTCGAAGATCGGGAACAGAAGTGGCAGCAGCAATAGCACGCTGCACTAAGGGATCTAAGTTCTCCACCTGTAAAATAATTTGCATAAATGTAGGGAGAAGGCTAGAACATGTAGAAATTAAAGACCACAGTCATATCAGATAAAAATCATAAAATATGGCAAACATCCTTACTAGTCCTCTCTCTAAGATAGAAGATTATAATATGATTCAATGAACAATACATTTATTGAATTAGTGACCCCGACTTCAATACCCAGTTCTATTATTCACATATGATGCTTTACTTCTGTGAACATCAAAGGGTGCACATCTAGTATGTATAGAGAAAAAGAAACTCGGCGAAGGCAAAAAAAACAAAAACGAAACTTAAAAAGCATGTACGAAATTAAATATCTCTACTTTAGAGATTTGAAGTTCATGAAAACACTAAGGATTCTCTCAACAACAACTAAGCTTTGTCCCACTAGGTGGGGTCGGCTACATAGATCAACTTTCGCCATAATGTTCTATCAAGAAGCATGCTTCTATCCAAATCATTAATCACAAGATTTTTCTTAATAACTTCTCTTATATTTTTTCTATGTCTTCCTCTTCCTCGAATTGTTTCCCTTCTCTCCATTTGGTCAACTATCCGTACTATAGAATGTACGGGTCTTCTCTATACATGCCCAAACCACCTAAGTCTATTTTCCACCATCTTGTCTTCTATAGGCGCTACCTCGACACTCTCTCTAAGGATTCTCTCAAGCCAGAAAATTCAGATAAACCACATAACTGGAAGAACTTATTACCTGAACATTATAACCAGATATTTCTCTGAGAACCTTTTCTGCTTCTGACAAAGAAGATAGAGGGAACAACCACAACCTGCAGACTCAAAAGTTTTCATAAGCTAGAACAACAAAACAGACAACAAAACCAGATAAACAATTCACTCGCCATTCACACACACGCATTGGAGTAAAGGCGGAGAGACATACCGTTCTTTAGCATTCCAAATAGATTTAGGGATTCTTCTAAAAGCAGCAACTATTACCTAACACAAAAACATTACAAAAGTTAAATCATAAACCACAAAGCTCTTCACCGACGACTCGGATACAAGATCAATGATAATAAAATCTTATAACCTGGTCATATAGGAACTTTGCTGCAATATTTCCACTTGAATGAAGAAAAAATTTGACAGAAGCTTTTGTCAATTCTTTAACTTGTTCATCTGCTTATAAAATAAATGTAACAAATACCAACATAAAAAAAATAAAAAAATAAAAAAACAATATGAAGAAACAAGCATATATACTCTTGTTAGTGTTGTTTGTTGTCACTGGTTTCAATGAAGGGGGGAGTGTTCTAGCTCCTTGAGGCAAAGCATCAACCTGGAACGAGAGAGATTATGGTAATGAATGAGTGATACGAAAAAATGATGATAATTTGAAAAAGAATGAAACTTTACTCTTTGAAAACGTGAAGCGGGAGAGGGGTTTGAAGGAGGAGGGTGGGAGCGGAGTTGAGCAATTTTCTGAAAAGCGTCTCTTTCAAGGGAATCGAGGTCTTCGGCGCTCAAATCCCAGTCTTCTGGGTCCATGGTTTCAAATTTTCAATTCAATTTCAAACAGGTTTTGGGGTTTTCTTTCTTTTGAATTCAATTTCGTCACTTCGTTGCTTTCTTTGTTTTTTTTTCGTTTTTTTTTTCTTGGTAGGTTAGAGATGTTACAATTACAAAATGGACAAAACATGTTTTGAGATATTGGGTTGCTATTCAATTAGGGTTAAATATGTTATTATTAAATTTTATTTTTAGTTTCTATTAAAAATAATATATGATGTAGGTTACTTTCTATAAAATTATTATCTATCTAGTTTTAATTTCTGTTATTAAATTGATGTGTATTTTTTAATAATTAATTTGTAAATATATTTAGAATGTTATAAAAATTTCTTCGAAAAAAAAGAATTTAAAATTTGATTTTTAAATTGAGGTTTTCATTACTTTCTTCTTGAAATTTAAAAAATTTATGTTTAGTTCATCTTATTTTAAAATTTTTTAAAATTTGATAAAGAAACATTTTATAATATTCTAAACCCGTATGAAAAAAATTATTCAAAAATCTAAAAATTTAAGAATAATTAAACAGTTTTCAAAGTTTTAGAAAATAATAAAGACTAAAACTACATGAATAAAAATTGTGTAAAGACTAAAATATATCATTTTTTTAATAAGGACTAAAAATGAAATTTGAAATATTTATAGAGTTATAAACATATTTAACCCACTTAATTATGATTTTTAAAGTTTGAGATGATATTAATATTTTTTTTTTAAAGAAAGATGGATAAATTATAATAAAAATTTATTAAGGTATTATAAGAGAGAGAAAAATAACGTAGTAAAATTATCAAAATGTATGACTTTTCTTAATTCTTAAAAAGTTCTTAATTATTATAAGTATATTAGAAGGAGGGTATTTTCACATATTGACAATAAGATTATGTATTTCTCTTCCTCAAATTTGTGGATGTCTAGAACCTTGAATGTTTAGGGTATTTATAGAGACTCATAAGCTTAGTTAAGAACGGATCTCATAACTCTATCATTAAGAAGGTGGTAGACGGCAAATTGTGGGTGGGAAATTCAAATTTCATCAGGCGACTAGTCACTCTCATTTGGATGACCACGCCATTATGGGTGCCCAAACCTGATTTGGGTGACTAACCCATTTTATGTCCTTAATTGTGCTTTACTAACGATGCAACTCTCTTTTCATGGATCATTCCTTATTAAAGTCCAAATAAAGTATCTCAATCCTCTGTTCCTCAATCACAAGGTCTTGGAAAGAACGAAGTGACCTCGTTTCGACGCATTGCCACCATGAAGTTCCATGAACTTTCTCCAGCAAAATATGGGGAGATTCCCATAAGTTTCATCTAGGACAGCATGTGCAACATTAGATGCTCCTAATGATGGATTCGCCTCGTGAATCAAGTATGTAAGAGACCTTTGTGTTTGTCAATACGTGTTAGGATACGAGACATGTATCGGTCTATTCTATAATTGTTGGCGTTTACTTCGAAGAAGATAATCTTAGCCTATAATGACCTAGGTTTTTTGCCTTTTATAAAAGGAAGTGCTCAGCTTATTAACACATACGTTATTCCAAAATCTTTGCTTCTAACAGGTCAAGTTACATTTAGCATTTCTCCAACTTTCATCTTCTTCGCAAACAAGTACAATTCATTCCTCTCTTTCTTCAACCTTCTCTCTCCAAAAATGACAATTATTAGGGAGTTAGACGAGCGTGGTAATGCAATTGACCCTTCCAACATTAGGGAACTCTTGAAATTGTAGGAACATTGCGTGAATGGAATATTTGCGTATGTGTTTCTCATAGGACACAATTGAACACCTTGTTATGCGCCGTTATGACCATAGTCTCATTTTACTTCGATGTTGTATTGAAATTTCATCAAGAGTCGGTAGACCATTCATGTTTCAAGCAACTTAGTGCATTTGTGAGGCTTATTCTGAGATTCCAAAGATAGATTGAAATAAGGAAACTAGAAGTGTCTTCGTCTCGCTTAACAATGTTATACAAGACTATCTTGTGTTTCAAAAAAGAGATTATCATTGTCGATCGATTAGAAAAATGCATAAGATTCAAAATGAAATACAGGCGCACAAAAACAATGATTCTTTGGAAATCTATGATAAGTTAGCTTTAAAAGTCGGTTCTTAAAATGCTAGATTTTTTAACAAACCATGGTATGTTAATTTTTCCAAGATAGTTATTGCTTATTTCCCTACATATAGTATGCTAATTTATTGGATTCCTCAATATGTGTTGTGACATAATTTATTAGGACCCAGCCTGGAGTTGTCAAGAAGTGCAGTCCCCCCCCCCCCCCGCACGCGCGCAAAGAACGGTGATCCCCTGAATGTAAAAGGAACAGGGGCGACGAAGAAAAGAAGTATCGGCCGAGGAATCCTCTGCGTGCCCAAGACCGACATAAAGATCGCCGCTATAACCGGTCTCCCTCTTGCTGCCCAGAAAGAAACGACAAAGACGATTTTGCGGTCCACTATCCCAAGCTATCATGGAGGCCCCTATTCCTAAAGGGGTGGAGAAGACTCTCCATCTGAAGGAGTACGGCGACATTGCAGACCCTCTTCGACCATATCGACCACTTGGAGGCGATGCTCCACTATCACAATATCGAGGGCCCTATCAAATGCAGGTTATTCCCCACGACGCCGAGGAAAACAGCCATGGACTAGTATAAGAGCCTCCCCCCAGGTCGATCACTTCATGGAGGAGTTTGAAGAACCAATTCGTCATTAGCTTCACAACATCTCGCCCGCACATGAAAATTGAGGCCTCCCTCGAGGCAATCGTCCATAGGAGCGATGAGACCCTCAGAGAGTACATCGATTGGTTCAACCGCGAGGCCATTCAGGTCCCATACGCTATCACATTAAGAGGTACTTGCTCGAGAGGGGACTCCTCCCGTGCACTGAATTTATAAAGGCCGTCGGCATCGAGCCTTTCAGGTCTTTTGACGTACTCCTCCAAAAAGTCTAGGCCTACATGGACTACGAGGAAAAAGAGGCCGCCAACAATGCCCGTGATTTGAGGAACTGCATACCAACTAACATCCTGTGGCACAATGATCCAGGCTCTTCTCAATGAACAGGGGATGAGAAGGGAGGAGAAGCCTCGCGAATCCTGCAAGCATAGAGGACCAACCAGGAGATACACTGAATACACCCCGATGATCGCTTCCCACGAGTGTATCCTTGTGGAGTACTCCAATGCTGATTTTAAGGATGGCAGGGTCAGGCGTCCTCGACCAGCCCCTGCTAAGCTCGGGGCCGATAGGACAAAATACTCTTAATACCAATGGAGCCACGGTCACCTGGCTGAAGACTGCGTCCACCTGAAGGATACCATCGAGACTTTCATCAAGGCAGGGAGACTCGGGCAGTACAAGAGGAACGATGCATCTCACCGAGAAACCCGCGAGTTTAAAGAAATTGATAAGGATACCCGACCATCCGACGGGTCTGGTCCCCTCCAGGTAGCCTTCTGTGTCTCAAGGCCAGAGGATTTATGCATCCCTAACGGTCTCGAGTACGATGGGCCTTTGTTCACCCACATCAGATGGGAGAAATTCCCCTCCGCCGTGGTCATATTTGGCGGGGGATTCAGTGACGTCCCAGTGAATTCAGCAAAGAGGAAATTCAACGAGTTGATAGATGCAACCCCAGTCCAGGCTGTAACCCTTGAACGGTTTAAAGAAAAATCTGAGTCGATCACCTTATACCTCAAGGAGCTGCCCGGTGAAGTCCTTAACTCCAGCATCCCTCTGGTGGTGAGGGCGAAGATGGCCAACTTTGATGTACATCGCATTCTGGTCGACGAGGGAAGTTTCGCCGATGTCATGTACACCCATCTATTTTGCACCCTACAGCTCGACGATACACACATGTCACCATAAGTGGGGTCTGATCTGCAAGGATTCAACGGTTTGACCTCCAAGCCATGGGGTTATGTCGAGCTGTTCAACATGTTCGGAGAAGAAACCACATTCCGACAAGTTAAAGTGTGTTTTCTGGTGATTGACTGCTCGTCTCTCTACAACTGCATCCTAGAGAGACCAACATTGGCCGACCTGACCGTCGTACCCTCCACGATACATTTAAAGATGAAGTTTTACACCCAGAGGGCCCACGTCGCCACCATCCATGGAGACATCTCATATGCCAGGAGATGTTTCAACGCGGCTTCCAAACGGTAAAATACGGTCGACACTAGGGTACGACCTACCGAAAGAGCAACCTCCTCGACAACATCGGCTACCTCAAATGACAAAATTGCTCAAGTTAAAGAACAACAAGCTCCACCAAAGGCCAACTCCATCGACCTCGACATCCGCTTTTCTAAACATGAACTCGAGGCCCCTAATGGAGAAAAGGATCCTCTCCGACCTATCCCAGACGGAGACTTCGAGTTCATCCCCCTCAGAGAAGACCCAAGTAAAAGAGTGAAGATCGGCGCTGGTCTCCCTGACCTAGAGAGGAAGCAGCTCAAAGCCTGCTTGAGGGAGAATGCTAACTTGTTCACATGTGTTTCACCCCAAAATTTTCCATCCTAATTGTCTCTTTATCTGGCTTAGACTTTACATCTGCATCCTTACATTAGGTCGTCTGCATTAACATAGCATACATTTGCATTTAATAAAGTGCATGAGGTTCAAGAGTCCAGTGGGCATACAAGCTAGAGTTTTCACAGTGTCCTGAGGTGTATATATCAAATAAAATTGATTCGTCTGGTTCTTTCTACCAACATTGAAGGGGAACTAGGGTTTTATGTGCATGGTTATTATGGATCTATGCATCATCAAGATTAAAGGACTTAGGGCTACTAATCCTTTGTGTTTAGGTTTGGTTTAGTTTTCGTCAAAGGCGTTCTTTTCATGGGTTTTCTCAAAGAAGAACTTTTGGATCAACTCAAGGTGCATTGATCAAAGGCCCTATGCAAAAGGAAGATTCATCGCTCAGTCGTAACTAGGATTTTTTATGTGTGGTTT